TCGGCAGACTTCGGCACGGTGTTTGTGTGCGTGCGACTAGACTAGCTGCTAACTGCTCATAACTGATTCTATCTCTTTTAGACCCAATTTCGGAAAAATTGAATTTGAAAATAAATAATGATCAACAAGAATCCACAACAAAATATGGGACCACCATTGATGCGGTATTTTCCAGATATTTAGAGGATATCAAGTCTCAAACTTATGTTTCTTATTTCAGTTAACATAAACCTATAGTTTCAATGATAACAATTCCTGAATAACCTACATGTATTGTAAGATAAAAATATTTTAAACAATATTAACTTCTCATTTATTCAATAAAAGAAAAAACTTTGTTTTCTTATCGGTCATCACGCTCAAAAAAAAACTTGAATTAATAGCAAAGGAAAAAAAACTGCATAAATAAAATAAATAAATAATTATTATTGCATAAGTTGATAAAAAATGCTATGCAATAACTTTACCGCGGCAGTCCCCGAGTGCCATCATGTATTTTTAAGTTTTTACTTAAATTCGCTCAAGTATGGTGGTGTTTAAAGTGACTTTGATTTGTAGGGTTTATTTTATACTAGGAAAAGACTTGTGTTTTATGTGATTTTAAATATAAAAGGGGAAGTGAGGTTACGTTTCACTCGTTAATATTATTTCTTACCGAAGAACATGGGCGTCGTTTTAGGAGAAAAAAGGAAAATAAAATATGCATATTAAAAAAAATAAAACTATTATTAGTGTTCTAAAATACGAATTAGAAGAAACTTGTGGTTAGAGGCACTTGAATGTTAGAAGTTGAACGAATATATTACATTTGTTCAATGAACTTTTTAGAGGACGGCTTTGCTGCAACAAATATTTTTATAAGTTTGTACGTTTCTAAATAATATCGAGCACTTTTAAAAATTGTATCTTTACTTTTTAGGATCTTTGTATTACACAAACAAAGTAGGAAAAAAAGAGTAGTGGTGAACCTGTCACCTAAAAAAATAGAAGATATTGTGTTTAATAAATTTGGCGAACCAATAATATGTTTGAATTTTTTTAGTATAGTAATTTCTTCAGATACTAAATTATTTAATTATGGGCCTTCTGTAAGAGTATTAAACTTGCCAACAAATAAAAGAAGTTATAGTTTGAACAAAAGTACCTCATACACTTCAATATTAAGTTCAAGCTATGACTCTGAAATTCTCATCAACAAAATTTGAGTCACCATTAATTAAGAAGTAAATCAAACATTGGATTTGATCTAAGCTGATACATTAAATTGTATATGAATACCTTTTTCAGAAAACCTAGATATTTTGGTAACTTTAGATTGAAGTGTCTAGAAAATCGGTCATTACGAATACTTTTCTGTTGCCAACAGTACTGCTTCAAACTTACGAAACAGAAATAAAACATTGCAGACACAATTAAGATGAGTGAACAAGTATGTGCATTAGAAAAGTAAATTAAATTCCTATATATTTTTTTAATGTCCTAAAATACTTCTACTTATGCTAAATAGGTAAATATATATTGGTTTGTTTTATTCTTATTAGGAATATTTTGTCATGTTTAAATTAAATGCTTTATGTATTTCTTCAGTTCTACCATTGTATAGATATTTTATAGAATTCCAAATCCTTGCTGTAATTCTAAATGTTTTAGAAGCAATAAAATATTTATTATATTTTTTGACATGACAGTAATGTCATATTTTGTTTTCAGTTCAATAAAAACGTACCTATCTTTTAATACATTATTTTGTACTTTTTAATCTATTTGCAGTCACTATTTTCACATTTAAAATAACCCAATGCAATCCGTTTACGTACGCTACTGCTGAAGATTCTAATATGAGCGAGAAAGCCTGCATTAGAAAAAGAACCAATGATTTTTATTAGAGCGACATTGACATTGTATAGATTTATACAGGGGTAGCCTATCTGTACCATATTTATCTAAGCTCGGTGCGGCACTAGTGAGCATACGCATTGAATCGTTTTTAGACGTTATACGATGTTGCGTCATTAAACAGTGCCCGATTTATTTCCAATGTTGAAATTATTTTTTGCTCAATTAATTAGGAATTTTAATTTTCACGTTCAGTGTCGGTCTCACAGGTAATTTTAATCTCTATTAAAATTAAAAAATCAAGCTTCAAATTTCGTACAAATTTCAATGTTTGATTTGACAGTGTCAATTTGCTTATATCCTTACAAAAAATATTAATTAAGGATAGTTCATAATGATACAAGTATAGTCAAGGGTAATATACCAAGACCTTGATAATAGTCGGCTATTTTTGTTGAATCTAAATTTCGAGAATATTTTAATATCATTTTGATGAGACATAATTTTAGGCATTACTAATCTTATTAGAGCCCGAGAGCTTTAGCTCAAGGGCTTTAATCAATTGAGTATTAATGCCAAAATTATGTAGAATCAAATTGTAAAATATTCGAGAAATTTAGCAATAACAAAAATATCAGAATATTAATCAAGGTCGCGTTATATTTGAGTTGACTATTTCACTAGACCAAATATCGACTATTTCTCTAGAGTCGACTATTTTTATTGTTTCTAAATTTTGAGTGTTTTTGATATCAATTTGTCGAGACATAATTTTGTCATTCATAACTTTTAATGGCCCATCCTCTATACCTGTTACACATAGGTAATAACGAGCCATCGAGAAAAACCATTGGAGTTGTCTATAAAGTTTAAATGTTTTGAGTTCCTTTAGCCACTTCCACAGAAAGACATTTTACCCTTGACAATTATCTCAAAACTTTTATTGAAAAAATAAAATTTAAAAAAATGGTATTCCACACAGAGCAAAAAGCAAAAATTATTGAATGTTACTTCTGTAGAAAGATAATGGCGAGTGGTAGAATTCAATTCCAGAATGAATAGATGATTTTCTTGAAATACATCCTGAATTAATGTTTTATCTGGCAACTTTAATAATTAATTGGATTCAAATATTTCACCACTAAAGGTAAGCACCTGTAACGTCTTGTGAAGTGGAACGTTCATTTTCGACGTACAATCATATTTTAAGTGATAGAAGGCAATGTTTCACTATTGAAAACATTGAAAAATATTTAATAACTTACTGTTTTCATTCTAATAATAATAATAATAATATTAATAATAATAATAATAATAATAATAATAATAATAATAATAATAATAATAATAATAATAATAATAATAATAATAATAATAATAATAATAATAATAATAATAATAATTAATTAGATGTAATTGATAGAAATGTAAAATCATCTAATCATATGTTTAAAAAGTCTATAATAACATTTAAATATCAAAAATGACTGTCATTTTATTTTGCATGTTTAAAAGCATAATATTGTCTATTGTTAACGCATAAATGCATACATATTTAGACCATTTTTAAGTGCATATTTTCCAAGCCCTAGTGATAACATTCTGTACATTTATTGCGTGGAATATGGTCAATCATATGGCATGAATACCATTTTATGACATGGATACCATTTTAACAGGTAGGTACCAAGGTGAAACTTCTGACAAAGCATAGCAATGAAATTCTTAAATATTTGCCTTTTATAAATGATTGTTGTAAACGGAAGTCTGGGAAAATCTGAGTGCGTTGATTGTATATATAGGATGACTTTTAAGAAAAATAGTTTTTCCTGGCAGCTTGCATTATTGTGAGGAAGACAAATTTATTGCAATTTGTCACTCTCTGGCCAGACATGTTCCATATTTAGTTCTGCCTCAGTTTCTGATTGGTATCATCGGACTCTAAGTTCGTATTTGGTTCTTTCTTCGTCTTGAGGGCGGCCCCCAGTGCCTGGACGAGGACCTACCGGTCTTTGGATCTGTAGACCCACGACCCAAATCCGACACTGCGTAAATGCACAACATTTTTAACAATTTCTTAATACTCTCGATCAATAAGTTGTATAAAATTGGCATAAAATCCTTCAAAATTTATACAAATTTAAATTTGTTAATGAATATATTGTATATTTTTTTAATTTGTAAAATTTATTAGTCGCAATCAACGAGAAAATTATAATTATTAGGTACACCCTACTTTTAAATTAATTAATAGCACCATCTCTTATAAAATGGAGTCTATCTCCTTCCTTTCAAAACAAGGATAGTGTCATTTTGTGAATGAAATATCGGTTTATATATATAACTACGTCAAAGAGCATGTAGTAGGTAAATTAGGTATTAATGAAATCTGCCAATAATTAAAAATTATTAATCCTATATATTAAAGCAAAAATTATTTTTTAGCATGTCAGGGTAAACAGATTTTTATATTTATTTTTTAATTGAATTAAAAACACTCCTAAGAATTCCTAAGGCAATAATTTTCCACTATACGTAATTTATCCATGCCAATTGAAAAAGCGCATGCGTCGTGAATTTTGCTGCAAAAATCAATTACCAACACCTACCCAAATCAAACACAATTATTATAGGATAATATATATTAAAAAAAAAAAAACAAAATTACTGCCACGCATCCACTAATTCAATTTCGAAACACGTATACAGAGGGTTTTTAAAGATTTGTTTTTTTTAATTGTGGACATGCGGATAATGTCGAACAAAATACATGTAGTGGTATCGTTTTGACGAAAAATTTGCTCATTCTATAATTATAATAACAAACTGATAACATTAATAAGACTCTTGATAAGGGAATAATAATTATTACCTCTAAAAGAAAGTAAACGGAAATATTTTTATATGAACGGCTAATTGAAATTATAAACAAAATACAATTATTAAACATATTTCTGATGTACATGGACCGAAATCTAGATCGTAAGAATGAAGTTTGGTTGATTTTTAATCAAATTATTAAGACAATCGAACATTTTTTATCAGTAACGAAAGAATATCAATGAACCACTAACCACCCTTCCGAAAAATCGTTTTTTCAACACATAAAAACCGCTAAAAGCCACAAACTACAACATCTACTATTGACGAACGGCTGTACTTACATGTTTTGAAAAACTAAAACTTTTTTTAAATATTTTTTAATGAACAAACACTAAAATCAACGAAGTATATGTGTGATTGAAGTTGTCGCTTATATTGATCGTGACGTCACACTGGCGCGGCGGACTTGCGCCATCAAAATGTACAGAGGACGCAAGAAATTTGTGAGTTCTGTTCGACGGCAACTTTGAGTTGACATTGGTTGAGTTTTCCCACGTTGGAGTTCGAATTTTCTTCGGATCTGGCGGTAAACGTTGCTACACGAGGATGGATTGTGAAGTAGGCTAGAAAACTGCATTTCTGTTTGAGTTGATTCGTATTACTTATTATCCATTTAATCTACATACAGGGTGTCATTTGGTGCGTCAATCAGTGTGTCAATGTTTTGTTATTATAGTAAGGAATGTCACAAGGAAATTCGTTGTAATAAGTAGATACATATAACGTAATTTATGGTAATTTATTTTAATGATCATGTTACCAACATTTTACATTATATTTAAATTAACTAAATCTACGACTAAAATAATATACAAAGGAACATGGTCTTCATTGGTGCGCAGTTTTTGTCTAACTTGTCCCATCATGTTGTGGAAGATGTTAATATCAATTTCATTTATCTTTTGATATAGTCTACGCCTTAGTTCCGCTATATTTTAAGCTTCCCACCCATTATCATAGACTTTTTTGATCAATAGTCCCTAAAAATCTTCGATGGGTCGAGCTTACGGTTCGTCGACAATACGGTGGTCTCGTACGGTTGCTATGGACAATGGGTATGACGTCACAGAATGATAGGTCGAGATGATAAAAAATATTCTGCTCTGTTTCGTATATTAGTTTTAAAAAATATCTTATATTTTATTAATATTTTTATTTTTGAACTATTTCCCAATGTTAGAGTTTTTAATATATCGGTAGTTTGATTTTTTGATAGACAAGCTACAAAACAGCAAAGATAAATGATGTAATGATTTTCATCAAATTTCAAATGAATTACTTTTTATTACTTTCCTGTTTGGAAAAGAAAATTATTTAACTAAAAGTTACTTCTAATGTTATTCTCTATAATAAATGGTCCGTATTTGAGAAATTGGACTAAATGTAAAAAATTCGAATTTTTATGAAAATTGTTAAAATAAAAGTTATTTGTGATATAATTCTCGATAATTCTTGTCCTTTAAATAATTTCTCTACAATGGACAGTATTCGAGATATTTGAGAAAAAGTATAAATTTCATATTTTGAAGGAAACTCAAAAAGTGATAAAGAGAAAAACAATAAATTTTGGACATAAGCTTTATTCCGGCCTGAGGTGAACTAATTAAATTTTGGGCAGAGTCGAAACATCTGGGGGGTACTTTGTAGGGGGTCATTTTTATATTATATGGAATATATGTGTTATATACGTTTGGAAGAGAAAATTCTTTAAATAAAAGTTACTTCTAATAATATTCTCTATAATTTTTGTCCAATACAAAATTTTTCTAAAATGGTCCGTATTCGATAAATTTGACAAAATATAAAAAATTCAAATTTTTTGGAAAATTATTCAAATAAAAGTTGTTTGTGATATAATTCTCTATAATTCTTGTTTCATACTTAATTTCTCTAAAATAGACCGTATTCGAGATATTTGAGAAAAAAATGTAAATTTCGTATTTTAAAGAAAACTCAGAAACGAATAAATAGAAAAACACCAAATTTTAAATAATAATAAAAATTTTTATCATTTACATATTTTTCTCATATTTGAGAAATTTGACAAAAAGTGCAAAATTCTAAATGTTGAGAAAAATGTTAAACTTAAAGTTTGTTTTATACATTTTTTTTTTGTTAGAGTATTGTTACTAGTCATTACTGACTAACCTACAATTTTAATTTAAAAATCTTATAAACTTAATTGTTTCTATAGGAAAGCATCACAAGTTGGCGTGACGATTTATTACACTGTTTTACACTAGCACTAACATTAACGTTCACTGCACTAGCTCAAATGGCTTCTTCCTTTCGAGCCTTCTGTTGAGTGTAGAGTTGTCCAGTGATTGCAGGGCTTCTTCGTTGACTTGGAAGTGGAGTCGACCCTCATGTTTCACAGAAAAAACCTCTTTATTTCCTCTTCGATTGTTGGCATCTTCAGGTCTCTATAAAGATAATCGTTTCGATAGAACCAAGGTGCATCAACAATGCATCTTAGGACTTTATTTTGGAAAACTTGTATCATGTTGATATTACTCTTGCTGGAACATCTCCATAGCTGTATGCTATAAATCCAGATTGGTTTTAGGATTCGTTTATAAATCAGCAGTTTGTTGAACACTGACAATTTTGATTTTCTTCCTAGGTGCCAATACATTTTTTGAATTTAAGTTCAAGTTCTTTACGATTTTTTTATTCGCTCTTTCCATTTAAGTCTTACATCTAGGTCCATCTCTAGGTATTTGGCCTAATCGTGATGCGGAATAACGTCATTATTTATTCTTATTTGTTTTTGTTCATTTGGTCGAAGAGTAAAATCAACATGCACTGATTTAGTTTGATTTATTTTTATTTTCCACTTTTTTGTCCATCGATTGATTCTGTTGCAGGTTTCCTGAATTTTTTCGGAGGTCTCTGTATTAGTTTCACCAACAGCCAATATTGCAGTGTCATCCGCAAATGTTGCTATTTTATCAGATTGTTGTTGAGGGATATCGCTGGTGTATAATAAGTAAAGAACCGGTCTTAGTGCCTTGTGGAACCTGCTTTAATTTCTTTCATTTCGGAGTATGCCTCGTCTTGATTTACTCTAAACATTCTTCCTTTTAGATATGATTATAGAATGTCGACATATTGTCTAGGGAGCATTTTTTGAAGTTTCTGTATTAGGCCAGCGGGCCAAACCTTCTCAAATACTTGGGCTACATCAAGAAATATAGCTGAGCATATATATTTTTCTTCGTAAGCATTTTCGATGATATTTGCTATCCTGTGTACTTGATCTATTGTCGAGTGTTTGTTTCTAAAACCGAATTGGTGCGAAGGGATCAGATTTTTATTTTCAATTATTGGTTTTAGTCGTTTTAGTAGTGGTTTTTCAAATAACTTAGATATTATCGGTAACAATGATATAGGTCTATATGATGACACTTCATTCAGAGGTTTTCCAGGCTTAGGAATTAGGATTAGAATTAGATTTCACGAAGTGAAGGTATATATTTAAGGGGTAATGCTGCATTTATGAGGTATGTCAATTTAACAATAGCCTTCCGTGGTAGTTTCTTTAATATTTCTCCAGTAATAAGGTCATATCCTGGGGCTTTCTGTGAGTTGATGTTTTCTTTCGTAACTTCATTGGGAGTAACTAGCTTAATTTCAAGTTGATCCATATTATGGATGATCTCATTAGGAGTGTCTTGATTTTCATCTAATTGGAACGTCTTCTGTAGGTGGTCAGCGAAAATATCAGCTTTTTGTTGATTGTCTCTTGCCCATTTGTTATCTGCTATTCTGATAGGAGGACAGTGTTTACACGAATTTTTTATCTTTTTAGTTGGCTTCCAGAGTGAATAATCAGTTTCTTTATCATCTGTTAGCCCTACTAGGTATCTGTTGAAGGATTCTTCTTTGTGATTTAGGATTTCTCTTCTCAGTCTTTGGGTAGCCCTATTTAATATATTTTTATCTTCTAGTGATCTTGTCATCTGCCATTTCTTTCTTAGTTTTCTTTTTTCTGCTACAAGTTTTTTTATCTCGACAGGATACTTTTTTCCAGCTGTTAATCTTCTTACTTTTGGTGTGTTCCTCCATGCAGCTTGCTGGATTTCAACTATAAATATTTCCAGTTCTTTGTCTAGCTGATTTTTCGTTATTAGTGTTATAGTGTTAGTTATTAGTGTTAAGCGCGCTCTAGCCGATATTAATCTCAAGAAGCTTAGATTAACTTCTTGGTTTAGAAGGAATCTGCGCCACTTTAGATGAATCTCGGGTGACTTAAATTACCGTATAGTGAACTAGACTAGTAATAAGAGAAACACCATGTATAAAAAACTAACAAACACTTTATTAATTGTCCGTAATTAAAGGACTCAATTGATATATAATAAAAAATAGATATAATAATAAATAATAAAATTTGGGGTCCTTACCTCATTTTCAGGGTGCAGTCACAATTATTGTATTTCACTTTATTTATTCCCAGAAATATCTGCTTATTTTATATATTTTGTAAACCCGAATTATTTCCCCAGTGGTTGATCGCGACCACTTTTTCGCTGTCCCGCAAAACTCTCATAACCCACTCAAAAAAACCGACTAGGTTCGATTTCGCAAGACTTCAAAAATTGTTCATTAGTTCATTAGTTTTTAACTTAATTCTTTTGTAACTATGAAATGCATTCTCTATGATTTAAAAGTATTTCGAAATCGACCTACTATTTAGAAATAATTTAACATACAGGATGTTAAATTATTTACTGAGCCGAATGAAAATAATTTAATTCAATTTAAGGAATAATTGTGATAATATCAAAGTTTTCTTCTACTTGTGTATAGTTTGGTGAAATTTTCATCAGAATAAAGAAATCCAAAAGGTCTGGAATCTTATTTGGGTTGGTGGGCCAATAGGTGGGTTTTTCAGAATATTGGTATGTACAACCAAGTTCTGATGCAGCTCGGTGCAATTCTTTTCCTTTGACTGTGGTTAATCTTGAACCCCAGTTGGTGTTTTTGGAGTTGTGATCTCCACCGATTATAAATTTTTTACCTAGTTTTTTGAGTACATTGAGATAATTTATACATGATTTCTCTAAAATGGACCATAATGGAAAAATTTGAGGAAAAGTGTAAAATTTAAATTTTTCAGTACTTTCGTTGGCAATGAATATAAATAAAAAATGTTTCGAGTAAGATGTATGTGGAAAATGTATATATTTAGATCATCCACTAAATATTTACAGAAGTTATACAATAGGTTGTACAAAATAACCGGAAAAAGCCTGCTATAACTAAAAAGGAAAGTCTTGTGTTGGACACATCAGATTTTTCGAATTATTTGTAAGACGGATGGCAGGGAACACATGGGGGTTTAAACTAAATATAATGCACTGGCTTTATACTATGGTTGCAGTACCCGTTATAACCTACTCATCAGTCATGTGGCGGCACAAGGCTAAAAGCTAGCAGAAAATTGGATAAGGTACCAAGACTCACCATTTTTAATAAAAACAGTTGCCTTTAGAAGAACGCCCACTGCAGCAACGGAGCTAGTGCTAGGTCTTCCTCCATTACA